ATACTGAGTAAAAATTAAAATATTGAAAGATTGAGAAATCGAAACCTTGAAAAATCGAGATATCTAAAAATCAAAAAGTCGAAAAGTTTTAAAATCGAAAAGTAGAAAATCCAAAAAATCCAAATACGAAAAATCGACAAATCGAGATCAAAAATACTGAATAAAAATTGAACTATGGAAAGATTCAGAAATGGAAAACTTAAAAAATCAAGAAATCTAAAAATTACAACGTTGAAAAAAATAATATATATAAATACAAATTAAAATATCGGAAAATAACAAATCGAGAAATCGAAAAGTCCAAAAACTGAGAAATTGTAAAATTTAATAATCGAAAAATCAAATACATTGAAAATTAGAAAATCCAAAAAATCGAAGTTCGAAAAGTCGACAAATCGAAATCGAAATCAAAAATATTGAACAAAAACTAAAATTTTGGAAGATTCAGAAATCGTATTTTAAAAATCAAAAAACGGAGAGGCCAAAAAATCGAATCAAAAAATTGTAGAATCAAAAATTCGAAAAATTGAAATATATAAACTTTAAAAATTAAAAATTTTAAAAATTCTAAAAGTGAAAAATTGAGAAAAAAGGAACCGTCAAAAAATTGAAAAATCAGAAGAAATTGAAAAACTGAAAAGTCGAAAAATCGAAAAATTGAACAATTAAAATATCGAAAAATTAAAACGTCGAAAACTTCAAAAATCGAGAATTCTACAAATCAAAATGTCGAAAAATTTTTTAAATATTTTAAATGATTGTAAGATCAAAAACTTGAAAAATCGAAATAAGTAAAATCCAGAGGTCGAACAATTGAAAAATCAAGAAATCGAAAAGTCCAAAAATGAAAAAATTGAAACATTAAAAAATCGATAAATTGAAAAATAAGAATATTGAAATATGGTAAAAATGAACAATCGAGAAACTGAAAAATACGAAATGACGAAACATTGGAAAATCGAAAAATCGAAAAACCAAAAAATCGAAAAACCAAAAAATCGAAAAATCGAAACTTCGAAAAATTAAAAAACCGGAAACATCAACAAAAGTCGCAAAGTCAAAAAATTTAAATTAAAAATCGAAAAACTGAAACGAGGAAAAATTGGAAAATAGAAAAATTAAAAAATTGGAACATCAAAAAATTGGAAAGTCGAAAAGACGAAACGTCGAAAAATTCAAAAACCAAAAATCGAAAAATGAAAAACTCAAGCATTGAGAATCGAAAAGGCGAAAAATTGAAAAACTGAAAAACTGAAATAGCCCAAAATCGAAAAAATTGAAATATTGGCTATTTTTATATTTAAAAAATCTGTAAATGGAAAAAGTGAATGATCGAAAAATCGAAACTTCAAAATCTCAATAAATCTAGAAATTGAAAAATCAAAAATTTTAAAAATCGAAAAATTGGAAAAGAGCAAAAATTGAAAACAGAAATATCGAAGAACTGAAAAACTGAAAAACTTAGAAATCCAAAAGTCGAGAAGTTGAAAAACTGAGAAATCGAAATAGCCAAAATCGAAAAATTGAGTAATTTTAAATTTGAAAGAAATCTATAAATCGAAAAATCGAGAAACTGAACATCGAAATCTCGATAAACTAAGAAATCGAAAATTCAGAAAATAAATAACCGAAAAATCTAAAACCGAGGTCGAGAAATTAAAAAATCAAGAAATCTTTTGAAACATCAAAAATGGAAAATCACAGAAAAAAATGGAAAATTTGAAGAATCGTAAAATTGAAAATTTGGAAAATTTTGAAGTCGAAAAATCTTTACAAATATCAAAAATGGAAAATCGAAAATAATAAAAATCGAAAAATTGAAAATCAAAACAAAATTTGAGGAATAAAAAATTGAAAAATCCCAAAACTGAAATATGAAGAAATCGGAAAGCCGAAAAATTGTTTTATATCGACAATTTTCACTTTTTTTCCAAAAAATCTCTGCCTAAGAGAAAAATTCAATTCATAAGCCTTAAATTTAGGACTATAGTACTCTTTAACATTTATTCCACAAAATTGTAAGATGACTTCATAAATTCCGGGGGGAATGGCATGAAAAAATGAATTTTGATTAACGATTTACCATGAATCTGATATCCTTAAACGGTTTGCAAAGTTTTAAACCATTCGATTTTAAAGTTTTGATTTTTTCCAAAAATCTGGATGCCTAAGGTAAAAGCTCATAAACGACAAATTGAAATAATATTTACTAGTGTATAATATGAAAATGACGTAAGTCTATAGTTGATGGGAATAAACAGACAAATTTTGGTTAACGTTTTACAATCTACATAATATCTAGATATGATATCATGTATATAGACTGCCGGAAACGGGACACCTATTTTTCCGTACCCAAGGGGTCATGAAACGTCGAAAAAACATAAAAGCAGCCAGTCGCCTGGTGGACCCTTGTGAAGTAAAAAACTAATAAATTCCGTTTTTGACCAAAATTCTTGCGCATTTTGAGAATTTCCAAATCAAACGCGTAATTAATCCCGAACTCGAACTAATTCAAGTTAAGCGAAATCCATCCCCGGAATAAATTTCCAATAATGGCGCCGCTCCCTGTAACCCCCAAAACTGAAAAACCCCGTGAAATAATCCCCGAAACCTCCGCGTCAGATTTCCCGGGATTATGCCGTCGTCGGAAAACACTCAAGCATATTTCGCATTCGTATTCTTGTTCGTGCAACGCAATTAATTAAAAGGGCATTAAGCAATCCATCACGGCATTTAATTCAGTTTCTAATAGGAGTAAAGTGCACAACCGCTTTTACCGTTAAATCCTCTTCTAGAAGAGAAGAGGGACTCGACAGCCTAATCCCCAAAATGTTTTCTCCGGTGTTTCATTTTTTTAACAACCTCTTTAAAAAAAATTCTATCTCGTTAATTACATCGAACGGAAAATTAATTAGCTTTTTTCTCATAGCGATAAGAGACTCGATAATTATTTTTTATTTTGATGAAAGGATAATCGTGCGAGATCAAAGCGCTACGCTTTCATAAAAGAAAATTTTAATTTCCTTTTGAAACGAATATACATCAAAAAAATGTGTTAGGAAGTTTGTTAAATTCGCTTGCGCTTGCGGCAATAATTGGTCTTTACGTATCCTGGAGTTGAAGTTTATACTACTTAATGTCAAAATTCTAATTACTTTTTCTCCATTTTCATCAAGCTAATTCGTTATTGGAAAATAAAGTTGCTTTTATGCGAAAAATTAATTCCGTGTGTTTTTTTCGATTGTAATAACGAAGCAAATTGTTGTAACATAAAACCGACGTTCGTTTGTAATTTTGTTTAATTCTTCGGGGTTGTTTTTTTGCGTCGGGAACACAAAAAACGCCCGAGGAGAGAAAGGTGGTGTTTGGGGAGAGGTGACGTCATTATATGCATATAAGTGGGCTGTCAATCACGGCACAATGTCGCATTGACGGAAGAAAACCATGTAATAGCACTTGGTATAAAAAGTGTGCAAAAAAATTGAAATTTAATATCAGACAAAAGTTTGTTAAAGTCAATAGAAGTGACTTCGTAGCTGTGACGGAGGTAGGGGAGGGGCGTGGCTGTGGTGGGGGCCAATTCCACGCTATTCAGATTTTTTTTTTTTAATTTACTTAAAAAACATGGCTCCAGGAGCTCTCGATGGCCGTTAAAGTTCATTTTTTTATTCATGCTTTATCCTTCTCTTACTTATAATCATGTCTTATCCTCTCATTTTTTTTTTATTTAATTTGTGCCCATTCGCCCACCACTTCGTTTCTGTATCTGTGAGAAATTTTTTTGTACAGTTTTTTTATTAGAAAATGTTTCATTCGCTTTATCCTCCACAAATTTTCTCTGAGATTATTTTTTGTAATATTTTCTGTGTTTTTATTCATTATAATTTTGGTTGAATAAAACCATATTTTAGTTTGTTCATATTTTATTTCGTACTTTGAATTATAGAATTCTTCCTTTGCCTAATTTATATCATTTTGGTGCTGTGTTTTTATATGTGTGTTATTTTTCTTTATGTTTCGGACATTTTTCTTTTTTTTGTGGTTTTGTTTATTTGAAAATATTTGCTCTGCATTATTCGTCAGAAGTGGTCTCTGAAACTGTTTTTTATTTTATCTTTTGTTCATTTATTTATTTACTATTACATATTATTTTCGTAATGGAGAAGCGTGAATGTAGTGGGAGTCATTTTATTCAATTTTTTCAATTTTATCTTTCAAATACTTATTTATTTTTATTCGTTTTATTTTGTTTTTTTATTTGCTTATGTTTCTTAGTTTTTTCAAAAATTCTATCAGATTTTGTCTACCATGTGGTGCACGCCGAAGAGCAAACGAAGTCTGACACCATAAAACATTGGTCGTAGAAAAAGTGTAGTAGGCAGTTTGTATGAATGAAATAAGTTCCGGTTTCTTTCTGTCTGTCCTATCCTTTTAGTTCTTTCTACTCTATCTGTTCTTTCTTTTTTCCTGTTATTTCTATTCTTTCTGATCTATCTGTCGTTTCTTTATTTGTTCTACTTGTTCTTTGTGTCCCCTTTCTACCTTTTCTGTCCTTCTATCCTTTCTGTCATTTCTGTTTTATCAGTTCTTTCTATCCCATCTGTCCTTTCTGCTCTACCCGTCTGTGCTATCTGTTCTTTTGGTACTTCTTTTCTTTTTCTTCTTTCAATCCTACTTGCTTTTTCTGTTTAATCCTATCTTTTTGTTCTTTTTGTTTTCTGTTCATTCTTCTCTTCCTGTTCTTTCCGTTCTTTCCATTCTTTCCGTTCATTCGGTTCTGTACATTCTTTCCGTTCGCTCCGTTCTTTCTTTTCTTTCCGTTCTTTCTGTTCTCTCTGTCCTTCCTGTTCCTTCTATCCTTTCGCTCCTCAATGCCCAATATCTTCTACTTTTTTCTGTCCTTTCTGTCCCAATCTTTCTATCTTTTGTCTCATTTCTGTTCTATTTGTCTTATTAGTTCTTTTTGTTCTCGTTGTCCTTTTTGTCTTTTCTGCTCTTCAATCCTTTTTGTCCTTTTCATCCTTTTCGTCCTTTTCGTCTTCTTCGTGCTTTTCGTATTTTTTGTCCTTTTCGTCATTTTCGTCCTCTTCGTTCTTTTCCTCGTTTGCGTCTTTTTCGTCCTTTTTGTCCTTGTTGTCTTTTCTGTCGTTTCCGGACTTTCTGTCCCTCAATCTTGTCTGCCCTTCTATCCTTACGGTCCTCAATGCCATCCATATTTTCTACCCGTTGCCCTTTCTGTTCTAATCTTTGTCCTTTGTTTCATTTCTGTTCTATTTGTCTTTTTTGTACTTTACGTCCTTTTAATCCGTTTAGTCATTTTCGTCTTTTCGCCCTTTTCGTCCTTTTTCTTTGTCGTCCTTTCCAACTTTTCGTCCTTTTCGTCCTCTTTGTCCTTTTTGTCTTTTCTATTCTTTCTGTACTTTCTGCTCTTCTATCCTTTCGGTCCTTAATGCCTTTCTATATTTTCTACTTTTTCTGTCCTTTTTATCATTCTAATCTGTCTTTCTCATTTCTGTTCTATTTGTCCTATCAGTTCTTTTTGTCCTTTTTGTCCTTTTCGTTCTTTTCGTCTTCTTCGTCCTTTTCGTATTTTTTGTCCTTTTCGTCGTCTTCGTTTTTCCCTAGTTTTCGTCTTCTTCGTCCTTTTCGTCCTTTTCCTTTTTTCTTTCTTTTCCTCCTGTGATACCTTTCCGTCCTTTCCGTTCTTTTTGTCCTTTTTAGCCTTTTTGTACTTTTTGTTCCTTTTGTCCTATTTGTCTTTATGTACTTTTTGTAATTTTCGTAATTTTCGTCTTTTCGTCTTTTTCGCCCTTTTCGCCATTCGTCCTTTTCGTCCTTATTGTCCTTTTCGTTCTTTTCGTTCTTATCGTCCTTTTCGTCCTTTCCGTTCTTATCGTCCTTCTCGTCCTTCTCGTCCTTCTCGTCCTTTTCGTCCCTTTCGTTTTTTTGGTCCTTTTCGTCCTTTACGACCTCTTCGTCTTCTTCATTTTCGTCCTTCTCGTCCTTTTCGTCATTTTCGTATTTTTCCTCCTTCTCGTCCTTTTCGTTGTTTTGGTCCTTTACGACTTCTTCGTCCTCATACTCCTCTTCGTCCTTTTCGCCCTTTTCGTCCTTGTCGTCCTCGTCGTCTACTTCGTCCTTTTCGTCCTTTCCGTCCTTATTGTTCTTTTCGTATTTTTGGTCCTTATTGTCCTTTCGTCCTCTTCGTTTTTTTCCTACTTTTCCTCCTTTTCGTTATTTTCGTCCTCTTCGTTCTCTTCCTCGTTTGCGTCCTTTTCGTCCTTTTTGTCCTTGTTGTCTTTTCTGTCCTTTTTGGACTTTCTGTCCCTCAATCTTGTCTGCCCTTCTATCCTTTCGGTCCTCAATGTCCTTCTATATTTTCTACCCGTTGCCCTTTCTGTCCTAATCTTTGTCCTTTGTCTCATTTCTATTCTATTTGTCCTTTTTGTACTTTACGTCCTTTTAATCCTCTTAGTCATTTTCGTCTTTTCTCACGTTTCGTCCTTTTTATCTTTGTCGTCCTTTCCAACTTTTCGTCCTTTTTTTCCTTTTTATCCTTTCTGTACTTTCTGCTCTTCTATCCTTTCGGTCCTTCATGCTTTTCTATATTTTCTACCTTTTCTGTCCTTTTTATCATTCTAATCTGTCTTTCCCATTTCTGTTCTATTTGTCCTATCAGTTCTTTTTGTCCTTTTCGTTCTTTTCGTCTTCTTCGTCCTTTTCGTATTTTTTGTCCTTTTCGTCCTCTTCGTTTTTCTCTAGTTTTCGTGTTCTTCGTCCTTTTCGTCCTTTTCCTTTTTTCCTTCTTTTCCTCCTGTGTTACCTTTCCGTCCTTTCCGTTCTTTTTGTCCTTTTTTATCCTTTTTGTAATTTTTGTTCCTTTTGTCCTATTTGTCTTTGGGTACTTTTTGTCTTTTTCGTCCTTTTCGTCTTTTCGTCCTTTTAGTCCTTTTTGCCCTTTCGTCCTTTTCGTACTTATTGTTCTTTTTGTCTTTTTCGTCCTTTTGGTTCCTTCCGTCGTTTTAGTTCTTTTCGTCCTCTACGAACTTTTCGTCCTCTTCGTCCTCTTCGTCCTTTTCGTCCTTTTCGTCCTTCTCGTTATTATCGTCCTTTTCATCCTTTTGGTCCTTTTCGTCCTTTACGACCTCTTCGTCCTCTTCGTCTTCGTCCTTCTCGTCCTTTTCGTCGTTTTGGTTCTTTTCGTCCTTTTCGTCCTTGTGGTGCATTTCGTCCTTTACGAACTTTTTCATCTCCTTCGTCCTCTTCGTCCTTTTCGTCCTCATCATCCTCTTCGTCCTTTTCGTTCTTTTGATCCTTTACGACCTCTTCGTCTTCATACTCCTCTTCGTCCTTTTCGTCCTTTTCGTCATTTCCATCCTTATTGTCCTTTTCGTATTTTTCGTCCTTATTGTCTTTTCGTCATCTTCGTTTTTTTCCTAGTTTTCGTCCTTTTCGTCCTTTTTGTCCTTTTTGTCCTTTTGTGTACTTTCTGTCCCCCAATCTTGGCTGCCCTTCTATTCTTTCTGCCCTTAATGACCAATATTTTCAACTTTTTCTGTCCTTTCTGTCCGTCTAATGTTTCTGCCTTTTGTCTCATTTTTATTCTATTTGTCTTATCAGTTCTTTTTGTCCTTGTTGTTCTTTTTGTCTTTTCTGTTCTTCAATCCATTTTTGTCCTTTTCGTCCTTTTCTTCCTTTTCCTCCTTTTCGTTCTATTTGTCCTTTCTGTATTTTCTATCCCTCAATCTCGTCTGCCCTTCTATCCTTTTCAGTCTCAATGTCCTTCTATATTTTCTACCCTTTCTGCCCTTTCTGTCCTTATAATATTTGTCCTTTCTATCATTTCTGTTCTATTATTATCAGTTATTTTTGTCCTTTTTATCTTTTTCGTTCTTTTCGTCTTTTTCGTCCTTTTCATCGTTTTCGTCCCTTTCGTCCTTTACGTCCTTTTGGTCCTTTATGACCCTTCTGTCATTTTTTTGTCCTTTCTTTCCTTTTTCTTCTTTCAGTCCTATTTGTTTTTTCGGTTTTATCTTTTCTTTCTATGCTTTCTATTCTTTCAGTTCTTTCTGTACTTTCTGTCTTTTCTGAACTTTCTGTCCTTCAATCTTGTGTGCTCTCTTGTCTTTTCGGTGCTCAATATCATTATATTTTCTACTTTTTCTGTCCTTTCTGTCCTTCTAATCTTTCTGCCTTTTCTCTCATTTCTGTTCTATTTATCTTATCAGTTCTTTTTGTCCTTGTTGTTTTTTTTTGTCTTTTCTGTTCTTCAATCCTTTTTTGTCCTTTTCGTCCTTTTCATCCTTCTCCTCCGTTTCGTCCTATTTGTCCTTTCGGTACTTTCTGTCCCTCAATCTCGTCTGCCCTTCTATCCTTTCGGTCTCAATGTCTATATTTTCTACCTATTCTGCCCTTTCTGTCCTTACAACCTTTATCCTTTCTAGCATTTCTGTTCTATTATCAGTTATTTTTATCCTTTTTGTCCTTTTCGTCCTTTTCGTCCTTTTCGTTCTTTTCATCCTTTTCGTCCGTGTCGTCGTTTTCGTCCTTTTCGTTCTTTTCGTCTTCTTCGCCCTTTTCGTAATTTTCGTCCTTTTCGTTCTTTACGTCCTTTTCGTTCTTTTTGATCTTTTTGTCTTTTGTGTTCTTCAATCATTTTTGGCTTGTCCTTTATGTCCTTTCTGTCATTTTTTTGTCGTCTCTTTCCTTTTTCTTCTTTCAGTTCTATTTGTTTTTTCTGTTTTATCTTTTCTTTCTATGCTTTATATTCTTTCAGTTCTTTCTGTCCTTTCTGTCTTTTCTGAACTTTCTGTCCTTCAATCTTGCGTGCTCCCTTGTCTTTTCGGTGCTCAATATCATTATATTTTCTACTTTTTCTGTTTTCTGTCCTTCTAATCTTTCTGCCTTTTCTCTCATTTCTGTTCTATTTATCTTATCAGTTCTTTCTGTCCTTGTTGTCCTTTTTGTCTTTTCTGTTCTTCAATCCTTTTTGGCCTTTTCGCCTTACCTGTCCTTTATGACCTTTCTGTTCTTTTTTTGCCCCGTCTGTCTGCTTGCTCTTGTTGTCCTTTCTGATCTTCCTGTCCTTCCTGTCATTTCTGTCATTTCTGTCATTTTTATCTATTGTGTTCCATCTGTTCTATCCGTTCTTGTTCTATCTGTCTTTTCTATTCTTCCTGTCATTCTTGTTCCTCTTTTATCTGTCCTTCCTGTTCTATCTTTTTGTCTTGTATTTTTTATCGGCTATTTCTGTTCTGTCTGCCCTTTCTCATCTTTTTGTCATTTCTGCCCTTTCTATTTTTTGGTCTGTTTTCTCTATTCTGTCCGTTCTCTTCTTTTTGTCCATTCTGTTTTTTCTATTTTATCTGTCTTATCACTTTTTTCTGTCCTATCTATTCCCTCTGACCTTCCTGTCATTTCTGTATTGTCTCATTTGTTCTTTCTTTCATTTCTGTCCTTCTGTCTTTTTTGTCCTTTATCCTTCCTGGATATTTCATCCTTTCTGTCTTTCCTGTCCTTTATGTCCGTTCTATCCTTATGTCCGTTTTATTTTATCATTTCTGTTTTTCTATTCTTTATTTCCTTCTATTTTTTCTCTTTTATCTGTTCTTCCTGTACATTTTGGTTTCTTGTCTGTTCTCGCTTTTCTTTTTTTATCGGTGGTGTTAGTTTTTTTCGTTTCGTCCTTTCCATGTTTGTAACCTTTATGTCCCTTCTGTCTTTTCTCTTCTCCTATCCTTCTAGCTTCTTTGTTCTACCTGTCTCATTTGTCTGTGTTGTGTATTCTGTACCTTCGGCCCTTCTATAATTTTTGTCATTTTTATTCGATATGTTTTTTCTGATCTTCCAATTCTTTTTGTCCTAACTATCTTTTCTGTCCTAACGTTTGTCTTTTTTGTCCTCTCTGTCTTTCTTGTACCTTCTGTCTGTCCTGTCCTTTCTGTCCTTTTTGTTCTTCCTATCATGTTTGTTCTTTTTGTCCAATCTGTTCTTTTTTTTTTTGTTTTTCTCCTTTCTGTCAATCGTGTTTTTCGACCCCTCTATCCTTTCTGTCATTATATATTTTGTATCATTTCTGTTCATTCTGTCATTCCTAGCCTTTCTGTTTTTTCTGTCTTTTTATCCCTTTATCTTCTCTGTTCTATCTGCCTCTTCTTTCGTTTTCGTCCGTTCTATCCGTTTTATCTTTTCTATACTGTCTGTCCGGCTGTCTGCTGTGTGTCGGTCTAATGATGATTATGTTAAGCAAGTAATCCTAGTCTTTTTTTATTGTTTACACAAGATATCTCAAAAATTTTCAGCTTTAATATAAGTTTTGTCTAAATAACCTAAGGCCATTTTTTTATTTAGAAGAATAGTTTTCGTTATTTTAAAGGAATGTTTCTAATTTTAGGTTTATTATCCACACTTTGTTGATTATCTCGTTTACATCTTCTTTTTTTCCTCATCCAAAATTATCTCAAAAAAGGTCACAGTAAACTTAAAAAGCTGAATCGTAAAGCTTTATTGTACAATTCTGAAGTCCAAGTATGCGCATAAATTTCAAAGTGTAACTTTCGCAAACATGTCAGAGGTAACGTGTATAAAGCTCCATTTTAATATCAATCGCCGCAACCTAAAAACCAATAAACTATGAACCAAACTACAATTACAACCCCCGTAAAGATGGCTTTAACCCCTTTCACACCCTGCCCTTTGCATTCTGTACGGTTCCCAGCTAAATTACTCCGACATGGCACAACAGAAAGCGAGATCGAATAAGGAGCGAGATCCAGAGGACAAAACATTAATTATAAGTCGACAAAAGGGCCGGTGACGGCATCGCGACGGCGGCGGCGTCGTTAGGCCCGGACGGATTACGGAGAGCTTCCGCCCACTGACTAATTACTGCAGGTGGATCCCCTCTTCGTGTTCGCTCAACCGCCCCTTTCGTCGTTTCATACTCCTGTTTGTGTTGGTATAATTGTGTTTTCATTAGATCGGACTAAACCGGTCGACCGAAATCGCCACTCGTTCAAGTTTGAAATTGATAGTGGGAGGAATTATAAGGGGAAATAGAAGGAAATGAGAGCGGAGATGTTTCTTTTATTGTTTTATTTTGAGAGAGGTCTATTCGGTCGAGCCGATATAATCGAAGTTGGCGTTGTTATAATGTCAGGATTTCTAGGCGTTCGACGAACACTAGTAGAAATTATAGCACGAATTGGATTTACTGAAAATATTGTCTTTTTAATTTTTAGTGATGAAGTGTTTTATTCAATTTCAGTAGGCGGAAGTTAAAGCAATAAAAAAGTCTGGACCGTCGGCATTGATGATTTTCAGTTCAGTCTTCAGTCCCACGTCTGTTACTACATACTAGGAAAAGCTAACATTTCCTAATCAAAACTGTTTATATTATCGAAACATGTAAAAGGAGACAAAGTATTGGAAGATTAGTAAAAAAAGAATTCTTTTTGGTAAAATATCGAAGCCATGAATCAAAAAAGGCCATTTTTTTCACTTTCCTCCCTGTTTCGGTAGTTTTAATCCGAAACCCGACCCGTTCTAATTAATATGAACGGTTTGTCTTGGAAAAAATTTATCACTGTTGTTGGGAGTAGCTCGAAGATGTCCCCCGTTCCACCAGCAGCACTCTTCCATTATCATAACCGTGCATACTTAACGATGTTTTCGCACTGCATGAATTATAGAAGGCTTCCCGTTAATCAGAGAATATAATTTACGTCCGTGCCCGCTTCTTGACAACCTCTCATTGTTTCCTTCCCTATCTCCGAAGCCGGCGTCCAACTTAAAAAATAAATCTTCACCCACCCTCGACGCCGCACTAATTAAAAATGCTAAATTGTGCGTGAGATGCCATCTCAGTCATTTCTAGTCTGCGCCCTCTCCGTAAAAGAGAAAAAACGAAAATAACGCCGAATTTGACTGAATTTAATTGCGTTTATAATGGCGGCAGTCGTAGCGGAAAGTAAACTCGGGAATTTCCACCTAAGCCAATTGTACTATGTATAATTTTCGTATCGTGATTATTGTTATAAAAAAAGCCAAAAATCCAAATTTTCGCGGACCTTTAATTATCCCCATTTGAATACAAACCCACCTCGTGTCCCCAAAACAAGTCGCATCGAGAACATCCCAAATCCCTCTCGAAATCTCGAATCCAAACATTTCCAGCACACCCCAGGGCAGGTGACGGGCCTAAACTGCGGCACATGCTATTTTTTTCGGCGAAACCCTCAAAAAATGATTACGGGAGGGCTGGTTTCCACTTTTTAGCCATCAATGACTTCCTATTTATGTCACAATTTAGTTTCAGTGCACAATTCGCGGACTGTGTGTATATTAAAAATGCGACCGGGAACGGTGACAGCGGCATAAAAGACCGAATTAGATCACTGTTGTGTTTTTGGGGAGGGCGATTACAGCACGAGCCCTCGCTAAGCAAATCTTCATAAATCTGACTCGCAGATGCTGTAAATAACGGTATTTTTTATGCAGGTATTTAAAGTAGGCACTTTTTTGGGACGATAAACAGAAGAAGACACCCGGTCGTAAATCTGCATGTACAGGTCCCATTGTGAGATTACCGTTATTAGAAACCGTTCAGTAGCTGCGGATTTTTTTCTGGAAAGTAGCGGTTCTTGCGAAAAAACGGCGAGGATTGGTACACATTTTTTCTATTGTTAGCCAGGCAATAAGTTTATTTTTAAATGCAGGTCCTCTTCGTCTTTACGATTTTGTAAATTCAACCAGAAATGAATGTTTTGTGAATAAAAAACGGTCCACACAAAGTTATTTTTTATTTTTTATTTTTAATTAAATTAATTGAATTAAATTCTTTAGCTTGGTGATCAAAGAGGACTAATCATTTTACCTTGTTGCTTCAGTATTTTATTAATTTTCAAGCTATCTTGAATCCAATTTCGCTTGAACATTCAAAGCTTTATAAAATTAACAACCGAAAATACCGCCAATCTATTTTAAAACAAGTTTATTTGGTAAAGAAACAATTATTGTTGGAACGATAGTTTAAATAACACATATAAACTGTTCAGGATGTTTTTAATAAAAAGTGATCCATGAAATTTGACGTTCACTTGAGGTTGATTTGTCACATTTATTGTTATTTAGATATGATTAAGTTGCAACATTTCTGACATCTGTCATCTCTGTCATCTGTCAATTTCAATCAAAAGGTGCTATCTGCAAATGAAAAATTACAAAATTTTACTTTTTCCTGATAACCTCTATGGAGCAAAAACAATATAGAAGGTAGTGGTCACAGTGTACAGTTGGTTCCAGAAAAAACAGGAATGGAATTTTTGAACAATATAAAGTGTAGCTGTCTCTTACATGTCAATTTGACAAATCTGTTAAATTATGTCAGTTTTGTCACTGTTTTGACACAAAATTTTTGCAATGTCATTATTGTCAAAATAGTCTCATTTAAACTAGAAAAAGTCACACAGTAATCTGTCATACTATCTTTGACAGTTCCCGTTTTTTCTGGAGCCAACTGTATAATAGAAAAAAAGAAGGTTTCACCTTCTTTAAAAAGGCAGTTGGGAGCCCCGAGAAAATTTAATATTCTTAAAAAAAACATTTGAGGCTCCCGAGAATGTTTTACATTAAAAAAAAAGTTAGGACTCCCTAGAACGTTTCACATTCTAAAAAAAAAAAAATTTTAAAACAGACAGTTGAGACCCCCCAGAGAAGGTTTAAAAAAAGAGATTTGGGACACCCGAGAAGGTTTCACATTAAAGAAAAAGACATTTGGGACCTCCGAGAAGGTTTTACATTCTATATATAAAAAATACATCTGGCGCCCCCGAAAAGCTTTTACATTTTTAAAAAAAGACAGTTGGGACACCGACAAGGTTTCACATTAAAAAAAAAGACATTTGAGGGCCCCGAGAAGGTTTTAAATTTTTAAAGACAGTTGAGACTCCCGAGAAGGTGTCACATTCTAAAAAAACATTTTTAAAACAGGTGGTTGAAACGCCCGAAAAAGTTTCACATTAAAAAAAAGACATTCGCGGTCCCCGAGAGGGTATTACATTTTTAAAAAGATAGTTGGGACTCCCGAGAAGGGTTCACATTCTTAAAAAAGATATTTGTCACCCCCGAGGTTTTACATTTTTAAAAAGACAGTTGGGACCCCCGAGAAGGTTTCACATTAAAGAAAAAGACGTTTGGGACCCCCGAGAAGGTTTCACATTTAAAAAAAAATACACATGGCGCTACCGAGACGGTTTTACATTTTTAAAAAAAGACATTTGGGATCCCGACAAGGTTTCACATTCTTAAAAAAGACATTTGACGCTCCCGAGAAGGTTTTACCATTTTAAAAAGGACAGTTGGGACCCCCGAGAAGGTTTCACATTAAAGAAAAAGATATTTGGGACCCCCGAGAAGGTTTCACATTAAAAAAAAAATACATCTGGCGCTCCCGAGACAGTTTTACATTTTTAAAAAAAGACATTTGGGATCCCGACAAGGTTTCACATTCTTAAAAAAGCCATTTGACGCTCCCGAGAAGGTTTTACCATTTTAAAAAGGACAGTTGGGACCCCCGAGAAGGTTTCACATTAAAGAAAAAGATATTTGGGACCCCCGAGAAGGTTTCACATTAAAAAAAAATACATATGGCGCTCCCGAGACGATTTTACATTTTTAAAAAAAGACATTTGGGATCCCGACAAGGTTTCACATTCTTAAAAAAGACATTTGACGCTCCCGAGAAGGTTTCACCATTTTAAAAATGACAGTTGGGACCCCCGAGAAGGTTTCACATTAAAAAAAAAATACATCTGGTGCTCCCGAGACGATTTTACATTTTTAAAAAAAGATATTTGGGAACCTTACAAGGTTTTACATTAAAGAAAAAGACATTTGGGACCCCCGAGAAGGTTTCACATTTAAAAAAAAATACATCTGGCGCTCCCGAGAGGGTTTTACATTTTTAAAAAAAGACATTTGGGATCCCGACAAGATTTCACATTCTTAAAAAAGACATTTGACGCTCCCGAGGAGGTTTTACCATTTTAAAAATGACA